AATAACTTATTATGCACGTAAATTTTGTCTTTATTCATCTATTAGTAAATGGTTGTGTATTTAATTCAGTAACAAGGACAGCATTGACTCTAATCAACATAAATATTTTTTGTTTATTTCATTTTTAGCATCTATTTCGCAACTGCTTTAATCATGTCATAATGAATATGAGAATGAATATTCAGAAAGTCCTCGTTTCAATCTAAGTTGATAATATCAAGATTATATCAGTTATCTGTTTGTAATCTTGCCTTGGTTGCTTCTTTTTTAGTATAAAGATAATCCAACAGAAAATGTCTTATTTTATGAACTTAGTCTTCTTTGAAGATTTTAAATAATTATAAAATAAAAGCATCGAATTAATAGTAAATCGCTGTGTGCTTTGAACAAATGATTTTGTATATGAACAGTATAAATATAGCTGATGAGAGATAATGAATTAGTAAAATAACCAAACGACGTCAATTAATAATGTCCTTGAAAAAAAAAACCTTGATATAACTATATTAGGTGAGTTGTTCTATGAGAAACTACCCAAATTGATGTCCACCGTTTGAGTTCACATTAGTTTCACAAAGATTTCACCATAATACTAGAAAAATCCGTAAAAATTTCATATCCATGAGCCTTTAGAACCAGGTAATGATCATTTTATTGAATTTTTTGTTCAGCTATAGTTATTTATCGAAAAATCAAATAATGATATTTCGATTTGGAATTTCACTCAGAAACAGTTTGAATGACTAATAGAATATCCTGAAAATTTCAGCTGAAAAGAATGTTTCTTTGTTAAGATATTGAGTTTCCAAAGAAAATTGTTATTGGACATAGATATGTCACAAACAGTCGAATGAACTTGAAAATACAATATCTCAACAAAGAACTATTGTTTTTAGCTGAAATTCTCAACATTTCCTGAGATTTATTCGATCTTTTTATGAGCGAAAATTTAGACTGAAATTTCGTTATCTGCTTTTTCAAAAAATTCATAAATCTGGATGGAAAACTTAGTAAAAAAAGTCACAACTCAGCTCACGAAACTCATGGTCACAATTCCTTTTAAACTTTTTCTAATCTTTATCGAGACCTCTTATTGAACTCACTACGAGCTCTAACGATAAATATCAGGTTTGGTAGTTTCCTCATCAGTAATAAATACGATAGCATCTACATTTCAACTGCTTTTCGTTTTCAAACAATTAAATCAAACGGTAACATCTCTAATTATAGTAATAAAAGAAAACGGACACTCTTTCTAGTACAATAAATATTTTATATTTTTAAGAAAAAAAGGAATCAAACTTCTATCATTGACATGATTGTTGATTTTCTAGGAATTACTGATTGATATTCGAATTGTCTTCATATCACATTTAGCAATTGAAATGAAACTCATATGCCCCGTAGTTTTATTTCCTGATATTGTTCTATCAAAAGTTAATCTTTCATCTAATATATATAGTTAGTTTTTCGACGAGATGAGCATTATAAGAATTTGTCTAGTTTCAAAATTGAATAAAAAAACAATCTCGTTGTTTTCTAACTGTAATTCTAATAATGATGCTCTAGTCCATAGATTCCAAATTGCGAACACTGATTAATTAGTTATTGCAAAGCTGATTATGAGTTCAATTTTATTAATAATATAAATATAGAAGTTTGAGAATAAGAATGGTATCATTTCTTTTTATTTGACAAGTCAACACGAATTTGTCATTTGAATATATAATAATAAATGAGAATAATGATGAACGAAAATAAATAATAATATAATCATTTTTTTTCCTTGTTATTACTTTATTTTCTTACAAATAATAAAAATATTCTAAAAAAGAAAAAAAATGATTATATTATTATTTATTTTCGTTCATCATTATTCTCATTTATTATTATATATTCAAATGACAAATTCGTATTGACTTGTCAAATAAAAAGAATTAAAACTATATTACTTAATTATAAAAAATGTTCGCAATTTGGAAACGCAATAAAAACAAGGTCAACGTTATTTTCTGTATTTCAAATTGCGAACACTTTTTTCTTAATTGCCTTGATTTTTGTTCGCAATTTGAACATAGCCCTCTAGTCATTTCTCTAGATGATTAGATGATCAGACGTCTTCTTCATTCAATGCTGTTTTTTCGTTTTCTTTTTTCTTTTTTGTTTAGAAACAGTTAAAAATAAAAACTGAAAAAATAAAAATAAGGCATGACAAAAGTTGAAAACGAACATGCGCTTTACAAATCGTTATTTTTTAGACTTACAATTCATTTTTATATGAAAACTCAATATGTAAGACAATATATGGGAAGTGACTGAAATGATTATACTAATAATCACACAAAATATGAAAATAAACATAAATATTTTAAAATAATATCCGAAGTAACATAAAAAATCTAAATCATACACATCTCTATGCAAAATTTAACTTTTTTTTTCCGTTTTGTTTTGTTTTATTCTGATTATGATTGTTTTTGTTTTTGTTTTTCTGTTTTAATCAAACCTTTTGTACGTTTAAGTGTCGATGTTCTTCGAGGAGAGACAGTCGGACAGACACCGGTAGCTGTAATCAAGTCGAAAGGATCGAAACTCTTGGATATTGATGCTGATACAGTAGTTGCGCCTGAATCATTTAAACTAAGTTCGGCTAATTCTTCTATTAAAAAAAATGAAGAAATAAATAAGTCGAAAAGACATTAAACATAAACTAAATACATACGATCTAATGATCCTTTGTATAGATAGCTTATTTGATGTAATTCTTCTCCTTTATAGTATATAATGATATTTGCTTTCATAGTATCAAATTGTGAACATGGAAAAGCTGGCATTAGAAAATAAACAATATTTCCATTTTTAGTGAAATTTTCCACTGAATAATGCCAACTAGTTAAATTTTCAACAATCTCAATTTTTAAATCATTTTTAAGGATACGACCCTTGAGAACAACATATACCATCTCTTGTCCACACATTGGACCATATCGTGGACCCATATGTTCAACTTCAACATCACCATAAGCTAAAATGTGGAAAAAAAACGTTTTGAAGTAAATTATTTTTTTGCAAACTTGAAATCGATTTTTCATACCTTCAGTCATAATGGAAGAATATTCTGTACTACCTTCATCACGTTGAAATTCTCCTTTTCCTACTTGAAAAATACGTGTGAATCGAAACATTGACTGTTCAAGTTGTCTTGTACGAATTAATTCTTTTGTTATAATATGATCTTGTTTACTTTTAATCATTTCAATCATAAAACTAGCAGAAATAAATCATCGAAGTTTAAAATATTTATAAATAAATAATAAATAAATAGAAAGTTACGTTTTATATCCATTTTGAAAATCTTCATTTGTTAAACGGAAGTATAAAACATTTGGGTCATTTTGTTTAAAGATTAATGCATAATCTTCATATGTATCTGAACTAGTTTTATTATCAATTGAATATGGATGAGGTTGTTTATCGATGCCCATCAAAGCAACTTCAATAATATTTACATCTGATTGAAAATTCCATGTCGAAGGAATCTACAGTGGTAGAAAAACAAGGTTCATAATATATTTAAGATAAATTGATCAATCTTCTAACCAAAATTGTTGGGTATTCCGGTTTGACTCCTTCTTCACATCGTACATAGTGTGCAGAGTTTTTACTTTCATTTTGTGTTCGTGGACGGTATTTCGCACGTGGTTGACATTTGATTTGAATTTTCTTTGATTCCATAGCATCATATTCAATCACTAGAAACATAAAATTGAAATGATCAGTAAAAGAAAAAGGACGACAAAAAAAGTACATACTTTGTTGTTGATATGCAAAATCATTGTACATTTGTACAGTGGTACATGGTTCACAACCGCCCGAATCTAGAGAAAAATTATTATTGATTTTGTTTTTGTTTTCTAATTATATGAAATTCAATCATACTAAATATATATTCGACAGGGGCGACGGTTGCTGAACTTTGTTGATAGTCTATAGAGATACATGAGGAAATTATAGAATTTTTCAAATGGCAAGTGTATAATTAATATACTTTTGATTTTTTGGGATTGTGCCTGTCTAATTAATCGTTCTTGTTCTTGAATAACAGCTTGTGCGCATGTTGAAACTGGAATACAATTATAAAAACCAAATGAAAATCCTCTCATTGATATAGTTAACTGCTTACTAAGATCAACTTTTGGTTCCACTGGCGAATTACCCATTTGAACAGACCATGATGGTGAATTTTCTAAAACATAATAAGGATAAAATATTGTTCAGAAAAAATCAAAACTTCAAAAACTTACTCCATTTTGAATCATAAAAATCCGTTGAGTCATTACTTTCTATGATAATACTTTGTTCTGTTTCAATTGATTCAGTTTTAAGAGAGTCAATTATATCTTTTATATCATTAGTATCAAATGGGTAATCAATTGTCCAAGTATTAGTTTCTAAAACAGAAAAAAAGAAACAATATAAACAAAAGTAATTTTCTCATATTGTTTTCATTTTTGTTTTTCTTGAGGTGTTTCAGTTTGAATCTGATGAATATTTTTCGAAGTTATTTCAAATAGAAATATACGTATGATTGAGTCAATTCTTCAACGAAATAGATTGGTATTTATATTTATCTAAGATAAGCATACAAGTAAGACTGCATATTTGTTTTTCGCCGACATGAAGTTTTACTGATTAGAAAGAAATATGTTACTAGGTCATCAAAGTCACCCCAAAATTGAGAATATGTCTGCCTGTATATGTGTGTCACATAAGGACTTACCAGCATTAGACGAACCAATAAGAAGATTAATATCAAACTGGTCATTATTACTGTTTGAATCAATAGGAGTTGAGATATCATCAAATGTGTTGGTTGGAAACATGTTACTATCTGCAAGTATCTGTACGAAAAAATCACATAAGTTAATTAATTATACTCTTTATTTTTGGATTCAGCATACCTTATCCAATTCGTCATTTGTGCATATACAGGACATTGATGATGGTTGTTCTTCACCGTTAGAATTTGTTATGTCGTTTGCTGCTTTAGGAAACGGTTCCATAACTGCCGTGGAAACTTGTGACTTATTTGATTGATCTAGAAGATAGCACACTCTATTTATTTATATTTTTTACATAAATATTTCATCGCATCAATGCACCCGCAATGAATTAGACCTTGGCTTTTCTCATATGAGTGGTTTTTATCCCTGGGAAAATTAAAATTACGATGATAGTGATTGCCTACGCGTTATGACTCCATAGATGTGACAAAAGCCTACGTAAAATGACATATTGAAAGCAAAAAAACCGTCTACAAAGGTATTCGTTTGCTTTATAAGTAGCTGCTTACTTTCCTCCTCTTTCTTATATTTTTTTATATATTGCTTTCAAATATTCTAACGACATTTTATAGACCAAAAAAAAAAAATATGTTTCTCTCTCTTTCATTTTATCATAATATATATTCGAAGAATGTTTACCATTATTGATATTAAAAAACAGGAGAGTCAGAAATAAAAACGATATAAGTGGTTGACAGTGAGCAAATAAACACATATATGATGCTCGCCATGCTTCTTATCAGCGTGAGGTGAAAGTCTAGACGTCACTGTGAAAAAAAAAAGCGAAAAGCAAAAACATTGACGTTTTAGAATACTTGTGACTATGACACACGTGATTGTATTAGCGAGCCTAGATGCATTCAGAAAGTAATTAGTAGATATAAGTTTCAAAAAAAAATTATAATAATCGACATAAAAAAATGTATTAGAATGTACGCATGAACAATGCACATTTTATTCAACCAACAACAAAAAAATTTACATATAATTTTGTCACAAAAAATAGTCCCTATTGAAAGTTTGTATGTAGAAATTGGATATAAATATCATTGGTTTTATATTACCAGAGGCCGAAAGAAGAAAAATAAAAATGTAAAAGAAAAACAGCCTGAGTTGCTCGAGTTATTTACTTTGTCGCCAAGGAATGAAAAAATTTTTTATGTTTTCTCGTCATGAAAATAAAGTTTATCGATGCATTGTTTGAGTTGACGATGAAAAAAGTGACTCAAGTGCCGAAATGAAAGTTAAATTATAAAAAACTCGAAGTGGTACTGTTGATGGAAGTAATGTTTCAATTATTCGATAAAAATCTGTTGCAGACTAGAATATATAAGACAAAAAAAAAATTAAGACAATATAATCAGATACATATTTAATACTTACATCTAATTTTATTTTATATAATTGCCAAAGTGTTGCACCGGTGAAGTTTCTTAAAGCATTTTCAAATCTAAATATTAAAAACGAAAGGGTTTAACAACAAAAAAAAACAGAAAAAACCTTTCATATTTACATTTCAAGTTTTTCTCGATTTAACCATTCAATAACATCGTAAGCAGACCAATCGTGAACACTTTGTGAATGAAACCATGAACTATTCATTATGGTTGTTACTTGATTATTGACAGGCATTACATTAACTGAAAAAACAAAAATTTTAAGATAACAGAATTGTTTTTATTTTTTAATAAAATAATTATTTTATTTACCATTTCGAACATGTGCATCAGCTCCTAACGAAATTCGAACAGCTTCAATTTCTCTTACTAATAAATTAAATGCTTCATCAAATGGAAGTATTGAAAAATCAATATGAAGTTTAGCACCATTGATTATACCAAGCCATCCTGATGATTTGTAACCTGCTTGCATCAACATTGGAATTGATGCTTTATTCTGTTCCATAGAATATTCAGCTTCTATAAAAACACAGGAAAAGTTGAAAACAAAAAGATCGTCAAAAGATTAATTTACCTAATCGACAATATCGACTCTGATAATACGGTTCATTAATAGCCATTAAAACAACAAAAGAATTTTCAATAGCTGACGCCATAGATGTAAGAACATCACCAGATATATTATCTTGATCGATCCATACAGTATAATTATGATTCTAATATATCAATAATAGATTCAAGTTAAAACGAAAAGAAAAATATCTCATGTAACAAAAAGTGATGTAAAAAAATCGATTATTAATCGATTGTACATTAATTATAATCAATGTAAAACATAGACAACTGAATTAAAACTGTACCGCCTTTCATTATATGAAACCAATTTAAAAATGATTTTTTTGAACGATTTTTAAATCGATTTCAATCAAAAATACTCAGAATAATCGATTTTTTTTTGTAATTTTTACTAAAATCGTTGTTTTTTTTTACATAAAATTTTACTTACTTTCAAGTATTTAGCAATTTTCGAACATATAACTTTTGTTGAATGATTATAACTTATCATAATATGTCCAATATCATTTTTATCTTTTTTTTTAGTTCTAGTGAATTCTAATGATGTTGCTGATGTTGTTGTTAATGTTTCTGTGACAACTGACATATCTTAATTAGTAAGTAGAGAATATTTTATTTAAAATTAAAATTTTTCTTTTATAAATACCATCTTGTTTATCTGTACATGGTATACATAAACTAAGACTATATTTAAGCACTGGTCGTTTATGTGGCTCTTCTATTGGCATTGTTTCAATATCTGACATAACAGTAGAAAAACTATCATCAACTGGATTTGATTCTTGTACTACTGTAAAACTATCATCATTTTCATCATCATCTTCATCATTATCATGTACTTGTGATGGTTGTGGCTGTAGAGAATCTATTGAATGAGAAAAATAAAACTAGATTTTCCAGCAGAAATTAACGAACCATCTATGGTATTAATTGTAGTTGTTTTTGTGTGTGAAGAATCATCACCTAAAATTTTGAATATTAAATAAGATATTAGAAAACAAAAAGACAATTGAAAAAGATGTTTACTATTGTCAGTGGCTTCTGTTGGTTGTTGATCTTGTACATCTGATTCGTTTTCATTGTCATCTATAGAAATGTTATTAGTTTTAAGTTAAAGGAAATATTTTAAAAGTTTAACATTTACGTGTTAGATTTATATAATTAGAACTTTTATTAAATAATTTTAATGCAAATTAGCAAATTTCTTTTTTCAGATTGTAGTGTTTTTTGTTAGAATTATAAAACTTTTGCAAAATAGGTAGTCATATGTTTTTCTTAGATAAATCTTATCTTCTATTATCTTATGTTTGTTTTATCTAAATTTGTTTTAATAGACAATTGTGTAATATTACTGTTATTTATACGTACCATTTATCGAATTTTTAAACATGAGTTAGACTTTGATTGATTTGTAATAAAACTCTTACATTAAATGTGGAAACCTACTATATGTGAAACAGTTGTTTTTAGTATGAGTTATTAATTTTACAGACGAAAAATCCAAGCAATTAGTCATTTTATTCAACTGAAATAACTTAAATGATTATTTCTCATTTACGACAAAAAAAGTATCATTCTTACTTAATTGATAACAATGATCAGCCACTGCTTGTAGATCTCTTGTGAAATTCCTCATTCGTTGTTGGTATTCGCTAGTTGAAAATGAAGACTATGAAGACAAACAAAATATTTTGTCATTTGAATTCGGAATATATAAAATGAAAATACGTTTAAATCAAAATAATCGGATGTATTGGATTCATTAAGATGTGGCGTTAGCAATGGTGTCATAAAGTCTTAAAAAAGAAAATTTTCAAAACATAGAAAAAGCGTAATAAACAAAAAGTAAAACAACGTACACGCTCGTTCGGTATCAGTATTGTCCATGGTAACTAAATCAAATGAATACAGAACAGATGAGAGCTCGGGTTGATATCTACCGACTTTAAACAATGGCCAATAAGTCTCAGTTCTGAAATTATTAATATATATATATATTGGTATCGTCGTGTATTTTTAGGTATACAGAAGGAGAAGAAGATGAGCATAAGAAATCTTATGTTCTTTTTCATTATCATCAAAAAGATAGACAGTAAAAATAGACGTATGACAAACGAGAATAATAAATAATTCGTTAACTACATAGCAACGTCTGTATTTACAATTGACAAGAAAAATGAAAGCATCTAACCATTCTCACTAAAGTATATTGTTTACTAGTTTTTTTTCGTTTTATTTAAAAATACATTATATCTAGCTATTGAAATTATTGCATATATACCCCAACATGTTTGTCATACGGAACAATTAATACATGATTTTAAGATGTGCAAAGAAATTACGATGGTAATATTTCCATAAACAAATCTAATAAATGTAATTTCACAACAAGTAAAAATTTGACTGTTTTCATTTATTCGTTGCTGCGTTTGAATCATTTATTTTATTTCAACATTGCTTCACAATAGCAGCTACCATATAGCAGTTTTGATAAGTGACACCTATATAGATTATTATTTATTTTCAGTACTTTTATATATTTGATGACTCATAAAATTAAAAAAAAGCTGAAACAGATTATTGTGTTCTGAATAATTTAATGTCTAGTGCTTTGAAGCACAAAACAAATTTTATCACATGAGCAGAATGAAATAAAAAATGAAAGTAAAACGACCATAGGTGAATATATATTTGTTTTTCTTTTGTGAAAGATAAACATAAGCTTCCAGTAAAAAAAAAAGAAGATAAGCGAAAAAAAAGTAACAAAAAAAAAGTCATAGACGATGGAATGAAATGTAATGAAAAGACAAAAAAAAGCACCTAGTCAATGTTCACTAGTCATTTTTTATCATTAAATAAGTAACAACAGCAATAGTAGCATTCAAATATTTATTAGATATACTTTCTGTCATGTTGAATATTATTAGTTAAAAATCAAACAGAGATTCATCATAATCAAAAGTGAAGAATTTTTAAAGAAGAACATCGTTTATCAAAGAATATTTATATTGCTGATTGCCAATATTAAATAAGAATTTTTGGTTCAGAAATACTTTCACTTATAGCTTTGTGTGGTAATATAACACCACCATTAACAAATAATTCATCTTGTACTGATACATCAAGTCCAAGTACACTCGTATTTTCCATACGAACCTTAATATAAAAAAAAACAAGAACAATTCTAATTCAATGAATAAAAAGAAAATAAATCGACTGTTTACCCATTGACCAATATGACATCGCCAACCAATAATACAATTAGCAATCCATGAATGACTTTTGATTAGTGAATCTCCGAGTATTGTGCAATTTTTTAAACACACTCCATCTTGTACAATAACTCGAGGACCAATAACAACATTAGGACCAATACGACATCGTTCACCAATTTTAGCTGTTGAATCCTGTTTAAATCAAGTTATGATTTGATTATTTAAATGATAAACAAAAAGTCTTACCACTAAAACATTGCCAACTGTACCATTTTCTCGTGATAATCGATCAGGATTGGAATGTCGAACATAATTAAGATATAGACTCATTCCAGTTAGATAATCTTTTGGTTGACCAACATCCATCCAAAAACCTAAAAAAAAAGAATTCATTATGTATTTCAATAAAATTTGAATGGAATTGAAATTGATTGAAAGAATTTAATTTATCACGATCGAGATTTATAAAAACTAAGTCTTTTATATATTCTACCAAATTTATGTTGAATATTGAATTTACATCAATTTTGAGAAAATTCATTAGCTTTATGATCTGCACCAGTTTTTCGAGACTTTTACCCTTAAGTTCAAATGCATATAATTGTCTATCAGTAGCCATAGCAGGAAATATTTCTTTTTCAATTGATGTTGGTCGTAACTAAATAGAAAGAAAGAAATTATTCAAGACATTATCTTTAAAACTTTCATAATTTACTTGAATTCTATCAAGTACACCAGTACTAAATATATAAAGACCAGCATTAATTTTATTGGAAACATATTCACGTGGTTTTTCAACAAATCGATCAATTCTACCAGTATCTGTTTCATAAACAACAACACCATATTTCGATGGTTCTTCAACTTTAGTAACCTTGAAAAATAAAAATAAAAATGAAATGAATACTTTTTGTTTTATCTAAAACTAAATTTCGTATTATATTTATTAAATGTACATACAACAATAGTGCCTTCACAATTGTGTTCTTTATGGAATTTAATCATATCATCGAATGGAAATTCACATATCACATCAGAATTAAGAACAAAAAATGGATCTTTCTCTGCTTCAAGATATTGACGTGCTAATGCCAATGGACCAGCTAAAAGACAATATGAAATATTCGTTAATAAATGAAAAAAAAAATTTATAACTTCACACCTGTTCCCAAAGGTTCAGTTTCTTGCGATATTGTTATCTTAATATTTAATCGTTTAGCTTCTACCTCCATTTCTCGTTGAAGCATGTCTGATAGATAACTAACAGCTAAAATTACATGTGTAACACCAACCTAATTAATTAAATAAAACTTAAGTTAATCATTCTAACGACTTGCGTGATACACACATACTTGAGCTAATGCTTCAATTTGATGGAGAACCATTGGCTTATTACAAAATTCAACCAATGGTTTTGGTTTTGTTAGTGTTAATGGACGTAAACGTGTTCCATAACCACCGACAAGAATAAGTGCTTTCATCTTCTTCACTTATCAAATATAAGCTATAAAGTTTTATGTTTTTCTCTTAAACTAGAACAAGACATATTACAATTCACACTTCTTGTTATTTAAATATAATGAAAAAAAAGAAAAAAGAAAAGGACGGAAGCCAAGACAAAAAGGGGAAAATAAATATTAATTTGAAAATTAACAAATTATGTGCTGCTATATGCATTAAGTTTATAGTAAAATGTTCGAATACAAAAAGAAAAGAAGGAGAACGCTTATTGATTGTAAATGATCGCGAGAAATAAAATGAAAATTACCAATAAACTTTGTTATATGCATGTATATATAAATATATGTCTGTAGTTTGAAATAGGAAAATATGTAAATATTCATCCTACTGTTCAAAGCAAGGAAAAAGAAAACATAAGATCACAAATTAAAAAAAAGAAAACGAAAATCATTATTTGTCTTTTATATTATTTTCATTTGGTTTGATACTGTCAATTACACGACCAGTTATTAAATCAACAACTTGGTCAACATGTGTTTTACAAAAGAAACATTCTTTGCTTGTCATAAGATGCATTGTAATACATGATCTAAATATATGAGACACAAAAAAAAAAAAAGTTAAATTGTAAATTGTAAATTAATGATTTTTAATTAAAAGAAAAAAAAAGACTTACAAACAAGCTTGATGTTTACATGGACGAAATTCTCCTTGTATTTGATGTGAATAACAAATAATACATATTGATTCATCATTATCATCAGATTTTTTCGTTGTTTTAGCCAACATTTGATATGTATCATTTAATTTTCGATAGATTTCATCAAGATCATAAGCTTCTGATCGATTTATTTCTGGTTGGGATTTTAGTGTAAAATGAGCCGATGATGATACTGAATTCGAGGCGTCACTCTCAGAATCATATATCAGTCGATGTAAACAAGATAAATCAAGATCAACTTCATTATAAATAGCACGACATACACGTGATGATCTATTTCAAAATCAATAAATAAAAATTCAGATTTCTTTTTTCTTTAGTAAATTTCATACATTTCATTGCTTGTTCGATTAATTAAATGTACCAATATGCCACATACTGCTGAGAACATGGGATATGGTTGAATATTGTCTAATGCTAATAAAAAAAAAATTAATTTTCTATTATAAATTTGGAAAGATAATATAAATGACTAAATAGATTGCAATATAGAAAAAAGACATTAAAAACTTATTAATATTAATAGAATATGTTTCCCAGTCGTCTGCTAGTAAAATTTCTACTAAACAAGTAAATATCTCCATTGATATTCACCGGTCAAACTAAAGTACTGCGAAACAAATCTTTCTTGCAACCTGAATCTCGTTTGTTTCGTAACGTTCTATTTTCAAAGTATACCGATCCTGAGCGTTCTGCAAGAGAGAACAAACAGATTTTTAAACTCATCGTTAAGTATTTACCTAAAGTGAAAAGAAAATTTCCTCGTTCAATGGTGCTTTTAAATAGTTCTAATAATTCGAAGAATATTCTGAAAGTTTCAGGCGAACAGAATATTTCTTTTTTCGAAATATATAGTTTTCAAGTAAACACGATTTTTGAGACATGTCTAGAGCAAGCGTCTATTTTTTTGGGAACTTATTATCTTGACAATGAAAGTTTTCTTTAGGTATCGTTCTACGACATGATTTAGTTTTTCATTTTTTGATAAATACCTCAAAATGAGTCGAAAATTCACTAAAACAATCGTAATTCGACTTCAAAGACAAATTCTTTCATGCTTTTGCTAGTCTCGATGAAACGGTTACCTCATAAGTTCGAAACGATATTTGGAACTTTTTTAGATCGAAATTGAAAGAAAGTCATTACTACTTAAGACTAAAAGCAATAAATTCTCCAAAAGAACATTTTTTTCTTTTCGTATGAATAATATTTATTTGATCATTTTGAATATTAATTAATATTTGTATTTAATATAGAAAATTTTATCAAGAACTATAAACGCTTTACAGGAAGAAAACATCAAACTTTTGATAGACGTCAAATTTAATTAGCAAAAAGCTCTCGATAATTGATTTTTCAGAGTATAGTTCCCTTCTGATTTCTTAATATATTTATTTTTCATGTGTTTTTATATTCATCATTCAGATGGTTATTCAGTAGATAGCAGCTTCATTTTTAATTCTAAAACTTGCTTATTTAAACCAATAAATTTTAAAAAAATTATGGAAACTCATTGTTCACTATCGAAGATAAATTTATAACATCCGACAATTAAATGAAATCGTTTCAGATGCTTTGGTATTACTGTCTTAAATTTACACAAAAAAAAAAATACAATTATCTTTTTTGAACGGTTTGATTAACAATAAAATAAAAATCAAACTTTTGAAAATTATCTTCTGATTTTCTTTTATGATAATCTAGAATAAATAATTTTTTATTTCTTACCATACATTTTGAGCCGTTCAATATCTTCTAAAACATAATTTTTCGTTGCTAAACGATTAATTATTTGACCGAGTAACTTTAAAAAAAAAACAAACAAAGAATAATTCTTAAAATTCAATTTAAAAAAGGCATGAATTTTATACTTGAAGAAGACGAATAAGAAGCATTTCTGATTTATTTGAATGTCTATCAAGTATAACAGTCGGTGCAACACATATTGTCATTTCAATTGTACGTAATAAACTAACTGTTACATCAAAACAAGTCGAACATATTTTCATTTGTCGATGTTCAATTGTTGGCATATACCGAGATTTCGTTGGTGTCAACTAAATTATAACAACATATTAGAAAAAAGAAATTTATTTATTTGTTTTTTTTTAAATACATCTTTTAATAATCCCATAAATTCTGAAAACGCCCAATTTAATTGTCCTAATAGACTATTAAGAAATCCAATAGCATCGTCACTATGACTTGTTAAATATCGTCCAATTTCTTGTTGATATTTCATTGATGGTGATGAATCTTTACAAAATAAAAAAAAAAAAGTTTTATTGTTATTAAATCTTTCTTTTTCTTTTTACCTTGAACTCGATCTTTTCTTAAACTTTGTAGAAATTTCGATGGATAAGATTGTGAATAACGAAAACCAAAACCACAACCTTTCCAAAATCGAACTAATATTAAATTTGTCATTGCCCATGGACGATTAGCATATGGTGTTAATAAGGCTCGAATTAATACAGTTCGATTATATTCACGCATATTTTCTAATGCTCGTAATGAACCCGAATAAAAACAAAATGCACTTAAACATTGCGTCATATTATCACGAACATCTATTTAAATAAATCAAAAATACAAAAACAAAAAAATGTTATAATTGAATATTTAACCTGAATTCACAATTCGAGTATCTTGCATATGATTAGCAATAAATTGTACAAAATCACCTGCTATTTCTCGATTGATTCCTGAATCTATTATTAAAAATAATACAAAACTTTTATAATTAAAATATATAATAATTATGTTCAAATACCTTCAGTTGGATAATAAACATTGAGAGCAGTAAATGTATTTAAATAAATATCATTAAGATAGATTTCTGGTACAAAACTAAATAAATTGCCTGCTTCAGATGCTATTTGAAGAGTACGATAGACACAACGATGTAATATGACAATATCACGTCGTTTTTCCTAATGATAAATATGAATTAGTTTTATTATTTGAAAAAATTTTTAAAAAAGAATTATTAAATGATTTACATGTGAAAAAATATGGACTGTTATCCAAGCTATTTTACGTGTTAAATCTTCTGTTTGTTGTTCAAAGATTTTCTTTGATCGTAAAAGTTCATCACGAATTTCAGGACAATCTTCTCGACAATTGACTAATTTATTATCAATATCAATTAATGATTCATTATATTCTCTTAAGCTATCAATTACTTCAGCAACCTAGAGAAAAAGAAATAAATTAGATATTATATGATTATGTTCAAAGCTAGAATAAAATACACATAAGGTTTTTAAAGACTTCTTCTGTTTTTTTTGCTTCTTTTAAATTTTAATGGAAAAAAAAAACAGAATTCATGTTATAGGCTGAAGGTAAATGAAAGACCCTTGGGTAATAATAAAAAAAGAAAAGAAACAAATAATTGACATAATGAAAAGCAATTCTTCGTCCAAATAAATGGTGCAGATAATAAATTCTACCATTTTACAAGAAGATTATGCTATGCTGGATTTTTAATTTCAACCTTTCTACTTTATAAAGACTCTACTTTCCAGGAAGGTATCCCCTGTGACGATAGTATTATACTAATGTAAAAAAAACACGTTTTGAATAATTCTTTTGCTTTTAAAAACTATCGAGCCCTGTCATGTAGTCATTAAAGATTTACTTTAAGATAATGTTTATGTACACCAACATGATACAAAAGAATAAGTCCATCAAGTAATTCTGTTAAACTTTCTGAACCAGTAGCATTAGATGATTTTAAACTATATCCCAATTGATGACGATAACGCTCTCGTCCATTGACGAAATCAGCTAAAAAAATTTATTCAAATTAAACATTTAAATTTTCATTTTTCTTCGTCAACTTACACATATCATCGTGTCTTGATGATTGATCAGAAAATGCTCGTGACAAAAATGATGTTCCTGAAGATCTTGCTCGTTTTACATCAGCTTTAGAAAAAAAAAACCAAAAACACACAATTAATTTTATCGATTTAAAACAAAATTATTTTTCTTTTATTACCTGAATATTCTTTTTCTAAATGACTTTGTACACCACCTAATCTTTGTAAATTGAAATAATCAAAATTATTATCAATAAATTTTTGACTTGGGACATAAGCAGAATCAAATGGTAATGAAGAATCATGACCTTCATCAAATGATTTGATTTCATGATATTGATTCCAATAAAATTCTAATACATGTAATAAACGATGAAAAAAATTTCTTATTATACCCGGTTGAAAATTATGAAGCTAGAGAAATAAAAAGAAAAATTTTCAATTGTTAACAAAAAAAAAAAAATCATTTTATTTTACTGGTGAATCTGAAAGATTTTCTTTAAGAAATAAACGAAATTTAGTAATAAATAAAAATTTTGATGATGGTGGATGTTGAAGAACATCTGATGGTGTTAATAAAAGTTTAAGAATTTCAATTTGAATATTTTCTAATGAATTAAGATCATCTTTTAATTTTCGACATGCTGATAAACAACTTAAATCACGTTCAACATCATTCTAAAAATACCAAAAAAACAAAATTGTTCAAAATTTTCTTTTATTTTTCTGTTTCGTTTGAAAAATAAATAAAATAATATTTACCAAATTTAATTTTTTTCTTGCCCAACCATCTGGTATTATTTGTTTTAATAAATCACTATCGGGTGGTTTTATATCAATAAATAACGGTAACTTAACTTTAAGAAAAAATATTGATTCTAACGATAATTTCCGTGTATCTTCATGTTTTAATATTGAATATAATAAATATAAATATTGACGTTGTTGATCAAATTGTAATTGTATAGGTTCAAAAAAATAAAGAGTATTTAATGAATGAAATACTTGTGTTAAAACTGTAAGTAAATCATTTGACTACATTAAAAAGAAACAAGAAAAAAAATTTTTTTTATTTAATATGTAAAATAAAATAAAAAAGTTCAATTTTTACTTGAAGAAACGCCCAAAAATAATCAAGACATAAACAGATTTCCGTATGTTCACTATGAAGTGATTCATGATTGAGTCTTATAAGCATTGAAATAAAACATTGTTGAATAATATACGGTGAGGCCTATATAAAGAAATATAATATAATCGAGTCTTTTTTAGTGTTATATAATTGTTATTCTTTAATACAAAGTAATAGTACAAATAAATGTTTCTCAAATATATACGCTAAAAATTATTAAACTAACAGTAAGATTCAATAACTTTTTATAATATTAGAACCATTTTGAAATAATAAATTATATGTTTGATATCTTGTCGAGACATATGACCTTGGAAAAGAGGTGGAGTCAAGGTTGACTTCGATTTATTTTTCATACGTATAAGATTAAGAAAATATTAATCGAAGATTTCTTACAGATTTATTTTTACAATCGAAAGTTATTTTTATATAGAAAACTTATTTATATTTAGGACATTGATATCACTTTGATTTTGAACTACATATAGAAATTGAACAAGGTTAATGTTCTATGAAAAATTGTTTTTCAATCAAACCGACAAGCTTAAGATGTCGCCAATGCTATCCGTGGAACAAAAAATAGACAATAGTTTATCTCCATTCTAGTTTGCTCATGACTCGAATGTTAATAAATTTTCTTTGACAGAATATATTATTGTTAATTGAATATTATTCAATGAATGTTTTAGTATAATACTAACCAATAATGGACATAAACGTTCAATTATTTGTTGAGCAATAATCATAAGAATAGCATCATTTTTTGGATCAGGCAAAGGTCGAGCTTGTGGTAACTAAAAACACAAACACAATGAAAAAAAAAATACATATTCAACTCAATTTAAACAAGAATAAATCATTATGTTAATGAATTACTTTTAATGAATTTGTATTTTTATTTGATCCATTAAATCTTTGATATTTTCCTAAATAAATTACTTGTTCAAATATATTGAATAAAAAATTAGCTTGTTCAATAAATAATTGTGGTTTTTCATCAATTGGTAAATAATTTGTTGTTGGATGTCGAAATGGTGTTGCACCAAAATTTATTTTAACTCGTTCATTTTGTGATAATGATATAGCAGGAAAATAAGCAATACCTTTTCCACATGGTACATTATCAAAAGCAATACCCAAATCAATACCATTTCTACATAAATAAAAAATCAAAATATTTTTTTTTTAATTTGTTTTGCTTTTTCTTTTATTAGTTTTATACCGTTTAAATGATATAGTTCCTTCATCACAATCAATTAAACATGAAATAATATCTCCAGCTAACCAAGACTAAGAAAATTAAACCAAATTATTAAAAAAATAAAATAAACATATCTTTCATAGTTTCTTACATCGCCATATTTTGAATTTTGTACATTCCATTTTCTTATACGTCCACCATCATAAGAAAACGATGTCCAAGTATCACCAACACCAATTTCTTGAGAAAAATGACATTTTATTGTACACCAACCAAATTGCATAACACCACGAGTTTCAAGCAATACTTCATATTGCCATTTACCACGGAAAACGCATACATCACCTCGTACTGTATTAAAACTACTTATTCCAGTATACTAAAAAAAATAAACAAACATTTATTTTATAAATTAAATTTTATGTCTAATTAATTTTATTTAAATTTACATCAAAACGTGTACATTGAACAATTCCAGTTGCTGAATATGAATTTAAACTTGCTGTAGAAGGTCCAATACGATTTTCTTCATATTCTAAGAGATATTATTTATGAATTTTAGTTTTTGATAAAAGAAATAAATTTATCTACCGGAAGAAGATTTTAGACAAGCTGTAGCAATGTCAGTAAGTTTATTATCAAGATATTCACCAAAATCACCTAATTGTTGAGGAAACGAATGTCTATTTAAGATAAATAAAAAAAATTTTGTTTTTCTTCAAAATTAATATTTAATATATGCATTAAGATTTTACCGTTCATTCAAAATTTCATCATTGTCTTGTTGTTTTGGAAGATTTGTAAAAATATGTGTTAATATATCATTAGCATTAGTTGTTGCTGTCATGAAAATGATTATTGAAAATTAATTTTTTCTAAATTAAGCAGATAAAAGACTACATAGAAAAACTAAAGTGCAAATCAAATGTCAGAACAATCTTGTTCTTCTCATGAACATCTATAAAATCTAGAGAATATACGACGAATCATATCGTCATGAAGTGTTTGATCATATGCTTTTCTTCATAGTGTTGTTGAGTGACATCTATTGATAGATAAACGATGTATTCTTGAATATTGATGAGTGCAAAAAATCATCAACGTAAAAATTAAATGTATACTTTTAATCAGAATAAAAAGATTATTTTATTTGCGTATATTTTTTAATGAAAAATGTGTTTTTCTATAAACTCTTTGAAAAATCTTCAACCATTTCTGATTATTACAATAGAATTTTTTCTTCACTTTCATATGAGTTCTAATTCTCTTTCAAAAAGAAAATATGAAGTCTAATTGATTTGAAAGTATAAATTAATTATTATCAAAACGATTGATCAGAACATTGATGATCTATTCTGAATTTATCAACGTACTGCATAATATTTCATCATTTTTCTTGGAACATTGATATATATTACGTTGTTATATAAAGTAATATTGGAGTAAATAGGTTACTAGATAGTATGCTCATTCAAATGTTCTTAATCAATCCATTTATCTTTTTGAATAGTTATTTTTATCGATCATTCATATGAAACTAATTTCATATGTCATGTATTATGCATATTAAAATGCTTTCAGGTGCAGTAATTTTTATTTCCTATGAAGGACACATAGTATTTTATGCAGGTGTACTTTTGAAGTACAAACACCAGTAGGTTTACCTTTTATATTCATTCGCTTCTACGAAAACAAACTCTTTATTAATCAATCGTTTATTTTCAAGGGCGTAGTCACGAGGTGGTCGTGGTGCCCGAGTACACATGGTTAAGTTTCACTTAGTGAGACTTTAAGTAGAGATAGTTTAGAACTTGTTTCAGAGCTGAGCAACAAATAGGACAATGCTATATTGATCCGTCCAACAGAATACATCATCACAGCAGGATAGCACAGAATAAGAGTAGTTTTCATGCGCTCGTCACGATTCTGCATGTTACTTTTTTTCGTCACCGTATATGTGATGTATTATACTAACAAAATGCTCACACATTCGGTTCTGTTCTTTCTTTGTATAGATTATTGTAATTATGTATGAACATGAACATATAAATGTTTTCAAAATGAAACACATTCATTGTGAACTGAATAGCTTCGTAACAGAATCTTTTATTGTTGATTATATCAGTTAGAAATGCAAAATAGAGTGTTTGAAAAGTTTCTTCCGCAAAATAATTTAATGTAAACATACTATTAATTGAACTTTGTCAGTTATTTTTTTCCGTTATGATAAGTATTATTGTTAAGTGTTCACTTATATGAACAACAAACATAAAAGTGCTATTCGGATGAATTATTTTCGGCCGGAAGACAAAAATTTTAGTTTTTTTCGATGTGTAAAAATGATTACACAAGATTTCATTTCGAATAGCTTTTGTTTCGTCCGTTTTATGACCTTTAAATCATTCTTATCTTGTAATACAGTATCAAGAACGTTTTTTTCGATACATTACAATAAAAGGAAGCCATTAGTGTCAATCTTGATGATCATGTGCTTCATGTGATCAGTCCCCTTTTTAGAAATGACAAGTCGATTGTTTGATAATGATAAAAAGAACTCATAGGTCCCATAAATACTAGATATAATATAAATATCCATATTTGTGTAGGCGTATATCTCAATAAATGTTTACAAGCCGATTCTGCAAGATCTATTACATTTCAAAGACATGAAAAAAAAACAAAGGAGAAGCGAAGTCCATCATAACGAGACTCTTAATATGATGAGTTTGAGATTTTGGAAATAGTCTGAATTTTTGTATTTCATTCAAAAGTGATACGTTTATCTGGTGGTTTTGTATTTTGTTCATACGAATCAAAACTTGTAAATGATACTTATCATATAAGAAAAACTTCATGAATAAAGTTCAACTAATGATAGACTGATATGAAATTACGTGTTCTAGAAAGGAAAATTTTTAGACGTACCATTTAATAATGATACCTTTTACTTTTCAAGTCTTTTATATTAGTCTTTTTGCCAGATGCCTTGTTCTTATATTACTAGTCTAGAATATTTTTTAGTCTTTATTGTATTACTCTTGAGTTAATCATCTTTCAAAAATATAATCGTGTTATATGATAACAGACTACATAAAAAAAAAGTTGTAAAATGGTTGGTAATTTAATATGTGCTTTGTTCGCTCAAAAATCACAGACATGTCTTATTTATTCTACACATATTATGTTTTATAAGTCTCGAGACGTGACAAAATTAGTTATAATATATTATTAGATAATATCTTCTCCTGTAATAATAAAAATATGAACATGTAAGTGCCATGATGAATTTCTTGCAATCAACCAACCTGACTTTTTTTAAAGATTCTATAATAAACCCAGTGAAAAATATTTGCTTCAAAGAACGGAAAAGAACGCGTTGCGTAAAATTAAAAGCACTGTTTTTAAGAAAAGAAGACGTTTCAACAAAAGTGGAAAGCGTTTCAAAATGGAACCATTAAGAACACATTCCATGGTTTTTGGAATGCATTCTTAAGTGTTCCAGCTGTTTTGGAATGTTTTCTTTTCTCAAAAAAAAGCTAACTTTTTTTTGAAACGCATTCTTGGTCGTTATTGCCTGAATTTAGATTCACTATAAGAGTTCTGGAAGAGAAGTTCAGACATAATTTTTTGAAAGATCGATTCTGGTGCAACTCGACGAGCTCTATCCAATGGTGTGCTCTAATTTTTCGTAGCTCAAACTGTTATTAAAAAAAAAGTTTTTCGGAATTAGGACTGCCAGTTGTAAAGTATGACTAATTGAAGGTTCCACCATTTTTGGCACCAGTTTCAGGGTGTCGTACTACTCTGCTGTCATTTTTGAATCAAAAGTGACATTAAATTCAGATGAAAGCGTTCATCAGTCAAAAGAATCCATTCTCAAGTGTTTCTCAAGAGAATGTTTAAAAAAGCGATCTCATTTCGATGGAACCCTATCTTGATTGTTTCGAAATAGAATGGGCAGAGACGCGTTCTATTGGCTCATGGGACGGTTCAGAACGCTTTTTATCCAGATAGAGAACGATTTTTGAACTGAGAAGAAAGCATTCCGTACTAGTGTGGAACAGTAAAGAATGAGTTCCTTTAAACTCAAAACTAATCTTTTTGTTTGTGAAAACGTTCGCTAAGCTGTAGAACACATTCTTCATGTAAAAGACAAGTCTCTACATTTTTATGAATGCACCCGCTTCCGTCATTTGTAGAAATATTTTTCACTGGGAAATGTTAAATAGTTCTAAATAAAATATAGCGTAATAGAAATCAACAATAAATGATAAGATAACAGCGGCTTTGTATAGCATTATTGAAAATATTTTCACATAAGAAAGACAATAATTCGACGTTTCGATGATCTATGTCATCATTTTCAAGATTTATTAAGATCTTAAGGAAAATTGTACAAAGAAAATAGGAAAAACAGAAAAGTAGGGAGACGAAAAAGGAAGACAACAACGACATTGCTAAACAATTTAAAGTTTCATTAATGATCAAGATTAGGTAACTGAACTTTTGGTAGATCATCAGGAAAGGCAAGTAATGGTACTGAATGTGTTGTTTTGTTAAGTTCAGGTTCATAAGCCTTGATCAGCAGTGATTCTTTGAACAACAGACGATAATAATGATTGTCTTGCCATACTACTTGAAAATTACTGCAGTCCATTCGATGTCCTGTGTCTTTTTCATGTTGAAAAATTGATGACTTGTCAATCTTCTTATCGTTGTTGATATCATTTTTTGATGCTGTTGTTGTTGTTGCTGCTATTTTGTTTATAATTCGTGATGATCTTCTTAATTCTGGAGGATCGTTAGGATCATCACTTCCATGGTTGCACTGTTGTTGTTGATAAGATGTTGTAGGTGCCAGAGGTGGGATCGGTTGGCATTTTTGCCAAACCGAACCGACCGTAACCGAAAAAATCTCTAACCGAACCGAACGTAACCGACCGAATTTTTTAAAATTTCTAACCGAACCGACCGTAACCGAAAAAATCTCTAACCGAACCGAATGCAACCGACCGAATATTTAAAAATTTCTAACCGAACCGACCGTAACCGACCGAATTTCAAAAATTTCGTAATCGAACCGAGTTTAGAGAAAGCGAAGTTTAGCTTATGTTAATTAGGGTATTAGTGCTTTATAAATTAGCAACAACAAATCGAACAGTAGCAACTATGAGCAATCAACATCTAGAGAAAGTAACGAAGAAAGATTATTTATTGAATCCTCTTACTGTATTATAACTTTCTTACCTCTCACAACAAATTTAAAAAACATGTGAGATAATACGAGTTACGAACAACAGCTAATTGTTGTACGATTACACTCTTTTTTCTTGTTATGTCTCAAAAAGTCCATCGAACTCAAATCAAAAGATTATGTCGA